CAAGTCAATTTCGTGATCAGATGCCGATAAGGCCTTCCATTCACAAAATGTAACAGAAATTTCAAACAGATACTCCTACAATGAACAGATAAAACACAAATAATGCACCACATATGCAATTAATTCAAAATTTGATCTTAATAACTTATTAGGCATGTTAAATCATAGATTATCGTTAATCTTGAGTCGGGGATGTTGCAGTTTTCCCCCCTTAAAGAGTTTGGTCCTCCAAACTTGAGTTACCTTCATTCTGGAATAATACCAGGTCCAAAGGGAATACTTCAGGGTATCTTTTCATCATTTCTTCCTCTGTCTCCCAAGTTGCATAAGTTCGTTTGTGGTTTTGCCAATTAACTTTTACCAGCGGTATGTCTTTGTTTCTCAATCTCTTGATTTGACGGTTTATAATTTGCATCGGTCTCTCCTCATATGTATAATCATCTTTTAGAAGTGTGGTACATCCATTAGTGCTAACAAAACAGATACAGAATAGATGCAGAACATATGGTGGTTATGAATAACCAGTTCCATAAAGGAACTTCCGGATCCGGCTAACCGAGAATAAACATGTTGAGCCCCATGATGGCGCCTCCGATACGGGTAACACTGAACGGTCGAGTTCGGAGATCCTGAGGCAAGGCGCGTAGCCGAGACCTCCGGGAACTCCAAACGAACACAAACATGGATAATCACCAAGTGTTCCAACGGTGACGTCCAAGTCTTGAGGACGGTCAAAAATGGGGTGTCTACACATATAGTGAGAAGGAGTCCATTGAGCTGTGCATACATGCCATGATCAGAAACATACATATTATATACATAACTCAGAAGCAAAACTTATAACATCATAGACTATACAAAATCCAAGCTTCTCAAGCTTGGCCAAAACACCACCAGAGCCCCGATGTAGAGGTGTAACTTTGGTGGCTTTATAAAAGGCTAACTCCGATGTGGTCTCTAATGTGGAACTCCCTGATGCTCACCTATATACATACAAATAAACTGACTGAGCTGGAAGCCTAATGAGTAATCTCCATATAAGGGGTTAAATGGATGAGCCTTATGTTTCATTTAATCAATATAAAGATCTTCGCATATTTAAAGATCATTTTGAAAGCACATAGTATCAAATACCATTCATTGATCCTTCCATAGCTTACCAAATAGCGAAGTTCATACTTTTCTTTTAATCACATTTATGAAATGGCCTCGGGCCCAAAATATAACAAAACGGCCTCAGGCCCAACATATACAAAACGACCTCGAGTCCAATATATCAAAATGGCCTCGGGTCCAATCATATATCAAAACGGCCTCAGGCCCAACATATAACAAAACGACCTCGGGTCCAATATATCAAAACGGTCTTCGGCCCAATCATATATCAAAACGGCTTCAGGCCCAACATATAACAAAACGACCTTAGGTCAAATATATCAAAACGGCCTCGGGCCCAATCATATATCAAAACGGCCTCAGGCCCAACATATAACAAAACGACCTCGGGTACAATATATCAAAACAGCCTCGGGCCCAATCATATAACAAAACGACCTTAGGTCCACATTGCACATGTCATATAACTTTTACGAATTTCATTCATTTCAATCAAAACACAACATTAACACAATTTACCATTCATGGCTCAAGTACACAAAGAAGAGCATATATGTACAATACTATAGAAATTGCTCACCGTGATTTAGGCTTTAATTAACTTGCTGAATTACCATACAGAACAATCGTCAAAGTTTGACATCATATAGAATGTTTATAGCGGATCATCAATTTATACAAAATGTCCAAGACGGACCATAGACAAATAACAGTTACTAAGGGTCAAAGCATATTTTCCCAATTTATCATATCGTTGCTCAAAAGGAAACTCATTCATTATTATCCAAACATTCTTTTGGGAACTTGCCATAGCATAATTACTCTGATGAATTCAAGCATATTTTATCATTTCGGAAATGCTCGTCAAGGTACATAATTTATACAAAACATAAGTTTCACAATTCTAGAGTATTTCATATGACAATACTGTTACAAAGAGAATTACTCACAGTGCTTGGTCGGATGACACTCCTTAACGATTCAGCCTGTAGGAACATAACCAAGCATAACATTTCAAAACACATTACTTTCAATTCACTCAATCGATTTATTCATTACATATCCGTTTAATCATTCCCCATTCTTTAATTCCCCTCAAGTGCTTAATGCTAAACTTCTCTACATGTGATTCATGTACAAAGCTTGTGCCATGGATGTATTTTAAACGGCCATAAATGTTCATGACTTAACTTAATGTTTCCTATAACAATCTCATATGTTTTCCATTGAAAATATCATGTTTACATATTTAAGGTTCAAGAAAATAGCAAGAAGCGAAACGGAACTAAGTTAGGGTAGAAAATGACATGAAACAGTTAAAAGAAAATAAACAGCCTTCACTAATTTGAGCATATCTATTTGTGTAATTAGAATTTGGATGTGATACCACCACCATTGGAAACTAGACTTCTGGGGCTTGAATTTAGGCTCAAGAATTGTCTAAAACGGAGTTCGGATGAGGGAGATATGTTTATTTGAAGTTACCAAGTATAAACTGAAACAGGGCTGACCGCACGTGCGCCCAATTTGACCGCTCGTGCGGCCCAAATCTGCGCGAGCTGAAAAACTGGCCGTTTGAGTGCCCAAAGAGCAGAATGAAAACCTATTTTTTTCTTCATGTTCCGCTCGTGCGGTGCCCGTGGCCACTCGTGCGGTCTAGGCAAAATCAAACAGTCTGAAAATGGTTCAAAGATGCAAACTTCCCAAACTCATTTCCAAGTCCAAATTCATGCAAAACTAACCCAAAAACATGATATACTAGCATGATATAGGTGTAATTTCACTTTAAACATATCAGTCTTGCTTCAACATCAAATTCATTGGCTTATCTTTTTCATACAATCATGAATGTCATACTCAAGCTTAAAATACATACAAACATGGTGAATCTTCTAACAAATCTTGGTTGTATAAACCATCTAGAATTTGTTTCATGGATCAATCACAAGAAAGAACTCCAATCAAACAAAAATGAAGAGTTTTCATGATTTTATTTCAAACCCTTACACAACTCAAAACCCTAGCTCAAAATTCCCAATTTCCTCTTGATTTCAAGCAAATGATGAGATATACACAAAGATTTCAAGTAGATTAACATACCTTAGTTCAAATTTAGGGTTTGCCCCTTGAATCCCTTGCAAAATCCTAGTTTCTCCTCTTCCTCTCTCTTTAACCCACTTAAAGCTCTCCACAAGAAAAAGAAGAACTCAATATAAGACTTAGGCTCATAAATCTTAATTTAATCATTATGAATTGTAATTTTTCAAAATTTCATCGTAGTCTCTAAAAATCATGTTAATCACAGATATGAAGCCGATTTTGGTTTATCGCACCTTTAAGACTTTCAATTTTTAGTTCAAAGTTCTAATTATAACAGAATTTTCTACATTCAACAGATATAAATCCAAAATCACATAATTTACATACTTAACTTGCAAATTCATATTAAACATATAAACATGTGCATAATTAAGCATAATACGGGTTGTGGTATTACAGGCTCGCTGTACAAAATTTTGGCTAAAGTTTTAACATGTAGATTGAAGCTAGTGTTGCCCTTAATTATTGGTGAAACTCAGACTGCTTTTCTAGGAGGGAGAAATATCTTAGATGTTGTCTTTATTGTTAATGAAGTGGTCGATGGCTGGAAGAAGACCAAGAAGTCAGGGCTAATTTTAAAGTTGGATTTTGAGAAAGCATTTGATTTTGTAAATTGGGAATTTTTATTTTCTACGTTATCTAGTTTTGGGTTTGGCTGGATGAAAGTCTGTGTTTCTATAGCTCGTATATCCATTCTCGTAAATGGATCACCAACAAAGGAGTTCTCACCACAAAAGGTCTCAGGCAAGGTGACCCACTCTCACTGTTCCTTTTCAATATAGTAGCAGAAGGGCTTAACATTATTCTAAACAGAGCACTCAATCTTGGAATTCTTAAAGCAGTGAAACTTGGGGCTAATGAGGTTCTCTTATCCCATCTTGAATTTACAGATGATTCAATTCTTTTCTACGATGCAGAGTGGGTTCAATTGGTACTTGTTAAACGAATTCTTAGATGTTTTGAAATTCTCTCAGGCCTTAGAATATCATAAAAGTGTTGTGTGTGGGGTTGGTGTGGCTAATGAGCTTCTATTGTCTTTCATAAATCTACTTAATTGTAAGATGCATAGACTTCCTTTGAAATTCCTGGAGGTGCCACTAGGAGCTAATCCAGGTAGGAAATTAATGTGGAAACCTGTTCTTGACAAAATCAGATTTAAGCTTGCAGGGTGGAAGAGGAAATTACTATCTTTTGCAGGCAGACTAACCTTGATCAAATCTGTTCTATCCAGTCTCCTTGTGTACTACCTCTCTTTATTTAAGATATCTGAAGGAGTTGCTAGATAAATTGAGAAGATTGAGGCTGTGTTTCTATGGGGTGGCAATGATCTAAAAAAAAAAGTTCATCTGGTGAAATGGGTGGAGGTAACAAAAGTGTCAACCAAGGAGGTCTAGGCATAAGAAGGATCAAAGATGTGAATACTTGTTTACTACTCAAATGGTGGTGGAAATTTGGGAATCAAGTCAATGCACTCAGGAGGAGGGCTATCTGCAGCAAGTATAAAATTGAGGAAAAATGTTGGCATCCTCCACTAAGATCACATTATAAGCGCTCTAGAATGTGGACTGACATTATCTCCATTGGGGCCTATAGCAGGAATATCTTCAACTTCTACTTGGATAATTGTCTACTTAAAGTGGAGAATGGGTCCATAATCAGATTTTGGCATGACAAGTGGTGTGGAGGCCTTTACTTCAAGTCAGAATTCCCTCTTCTTTACAATCTTTCTACTGACAAGAAAGGTTCCCTTCATTATTTCTTTCATAGGAAATCTAGCTTAGATCTTTGGAATTTTCCGTATAGAAGAGTGCTATATGACTGGGAATTACTTGAAGAAATCAGACTTGTTAATGTCTTATCCTCATCTCCTTCTCTATGTCTTGACAGTGTGGATTGTCGAGTTTGGGCTAATGGTTCTTTCTCTGTCTCTGCCCTTTATTCTTTCAGCAGCTCTCAGCTTGGCCTTGAACTTAGAATTAGTAAGTTTGTCTGGTGTAATGCTTTACCCCCCAAAGTTCTCTTTTTTGGTTGGCTGGCTTGGAAAAATACAATCAAATCTGTAGAGTTTTTGCACAGAATTAGCATTTTAAGCAGCAGTGTATCCTTCCTTTGCCCATTCTGTAGCACTGAAGTTGAATCTGCTCTTCATGTATTGTTGCACTGCCTTTTCTCCTGGTTTATCTGGTCTTCGGTGATTTACGATTGGGGTTTTAATTGGTGTATTCAAGGATCAATGGAAGGTCTTTTCAACTAGTGGATGTATGGAAAATTCAAGAGACTTGAAAGAAAAATCTGGAAAGCGATACCCTTAGTTGTTTTGTGGTCTATCTGAAAACATAGGAATGTGTGTGTCTTCTCTATGCCACAACCCAATTCCTCTGGTCTATGTGAACTCATCAAAATCAGAACTGCTCTCTAGCTCAAAGCATCTACAAAGGACTTTCCTTTCTTAGTTGATGATTATGTATTCAAGTGGAATAAAATTAGAGGTTGATTTGGCTAACTTTAGTTATTGTCTTTCTGTTTCTGCTTTTTCTTTCCTTCCCTTTCTCTCTGTTTTTTCTTTTTTTTTTTATCTCTCTTTGTGTCACGACCTAAACTCGCCCCTATAGATTTAGCATCGTAACCTGCCAGTAATCCTTGGATTACCAAAGGCCTCTGAATAGAATAATGCATAATTAAGGGGTTGCGGAAGCAAATATACAAAATGCAACATCCGTTGAGTTGTGCAAACATACATGAGACAAGATAATTTTAAACTTTATAAGCATACTCATGACATCATATAGGTACAGTAATTATATGTCACCCCTTGTACAGATAACCAAAAGCAAACTGTTCAATATCAGGGGAAAACAAAGTATTGAACGGTCAAAAAGACATGGCCACACAACTTGACTTGGTCCGGAACCTCCTTGGGAGGCCCAAATGATGGCTGAAAAAACAGAATCCCAGGCCATCAACTCTGGCCCTGATCACGTACTTGGTCACCTACATACATAATATAAATAGTGAGCAGAAGCCCAGTGAATAATAACAAAGTAAATGGTTTTGATGAATGATGTCCATACCAGATTCAGAAATCATAACTCAGATTCATAAACAAATTCATATTCATGTTCATATTCTTGTTCAATTCATATACAAAAATCGGAGTTCATGCTTAATCATACGTGGTACATCCATTAGTGCTAACAAAACAGATACAGAATAGATGCAGAACATATGGTGGTTATGAATAACCAGTTCCATAAAGGAACCTCCGGATCCGGCTAACCGAGAATAAACATGTTGAGCCCCATGATGGCGCCTCCGATACGGGTAACAGATTGCAGACATATTAAGTTCCATAATGGAACCTCCGATACCGGGTAACAACTAACAGATATCACATGATACTAAGGATGCCACAAATACATTATTAGAAATCAGAAAATCATTTGTTATGTAGAACATAACATTTCAGAAAATAGATCTTTTTTCATCATACAGAAAATAAATAAAGTGGAACATAGCTTTACTAAGTTATTACTCACAGTTGGCTTCGGTTGCAGACAGACAGAGTAGACTAATCAAATGGTTATGGCACGTGACCTACATTAACACATAACAAATACACATTTGAAACACACGTTGGGATATATCTAACTCATTGTGTTCTATTCATAGTGTTTTTACATTTTTTTCTCATTATTATGCCTTAATCTTGGCCTAGGAATGCCTAGGATGGAATGAGGATACAAAAATGCATTTGAAAACACTTGATTAAATTTTCTGAAAACAGAGTCCCCGCTCGAGCGTATCTTTCTTTGCTCGACGAACGCTCGATGGTCGCTCGAGCGTGAGACTTATGCCCCCGCGCGAGCGCAACACTCGCCGCTCAAGCAGTCTGCAAAAACACGAAACTTCTGGGAGCATGCATTTCATGCTTGAGTGAACTTTTGGTCACTCGAGCGAAGATGCAAAAACAAAGGTGGCCGCTCGAGTGCAGAATCTCATGCTCAAGCGGAGAGCAAAATTCTGGAATTTCCAGATTGCTCTTCCTTGCTCAAAATTCGAATCTAATCCATCAAATCACAACTTTTGGTCCCAAAAATTGAGAAAACAAGTTTAAACTTGAAAACATTAAGTATTAAAGATCATTTCACAAAATTAAGGCCTAAGAGTAAGTCAATTGCGTAAAATCAAACTTGAAACTTATAATACAACACATAGACTTACATGCAAGCACTTTCTTGACTTCAAAGCTACAATTTTGTTCTTTTGGGCCAAAAACTTAAGGAAACATTTAGAAACTTGTATAACAATATGGAATGAAGATTAATTCACAAGATCAAAGCCAAAACCAAATCAATTCTTCAAAACTAAGCTTGAAATTTTATATATACAACATGCATGCAATGATATAAGATATTATCTTTCAAAACATAAGTAATTTGGGATTGTGAGTGCAAAACTATGATGAGTTCTTATCATTTAACAAAGATGACCTTTTGCCTGTATGGATTGATTGTAAATTAAACTCATAATTCATGAATTATGCATGCATGCATGGATTAATCTTTTACTCTACATTCTTACTTTAATTGCCATGCTTAATCTTCTAATTCTGTTGAATTCTTGCACTAAGTAATTCAAATTCATGTTTAAGGAGTTGAATTTCCTACCTTAAGCCTTGAGCTAGCAAGAGTTAGAGCCAAACTTCCTTCCAAGGTTGGGTAATTCTTGATTTTCCCTCTAAATTTCCTACAATTCACTCTAATTGTTGAAGTTTCTCTCCCAACTCTTAGACTCTCTCCCCTCTCACGTTTGAGTCAAAAGATGAGGAAATGAAAATGTATATAATAGCCTTGAGTCTACAATTTTCCTTATATAGGCTTGGGTAAATGTGTAATTATTTATTGATCAAACTAATCAAATGGACATTAAATTATTCTAACTAAATCGTTTCGAATCGAATTTTAATTAAACCTACCATAATGTTCTAAAAATTTCAAATAACGTTCTAAAAATTTCAAATAACACATAAATCAAGTCAATTTCTGAATCGAGTGCCGATAAGGCCTTCAACTCGCATACCAAAACAGAAACATGAACAGATTTTCTTACGTTAAACAGATATAAACACAAATAATGCAATACACATGTAATTAATTCAGAATTTGATCTTAATAACTTATTAGACAAATGAAATTGTAGATTAATGTTAATCATGGGTTGAGGTTGTTACACTTTGGTTGGTTCCTTACCAACCTGGGGGTGAGCTTATGCCACTATCTCTAGTTCCATTAGTTTTGGTATTAGCTTGTTAGCTGGCTGCTGATTGTTCCTTTGCTCATTATTATAATCAATAAAGTTTTTTTGTTGATCCAAAAAAAAAAAAAAAAGATTGTAAACTTAAACCATAAACAAAATGTGATTTGTTTTTGTATTTATAATTGTCTGATAAATCTAATTTTTTGTAAAGTTTACAAAATAGATGATTTGAATTATCAAAGTGAGTACAAATTGAGATCCACAAGAGGAGTATAAATGAGTATGGAAAAATAAAGTATGGAGGAGAATTTAGCCCAAATATTAGTATAAAAAGATTCTATGACATTTTTATTGGCAAATTTTATTTATTGTTAATCCTTTGTCTTAATGCATTTGATCATGTCATTTGATAGATTTTCAGGAGAAATTTGGCAACAAGTTGTGCTTTATATCTTATAATTTCATTTTGCTCATTGTGTTTTCGAACAAACACCCATTTATATCCCACAGGCTGTATCCCTTCAGGGATTTGGACTGCAGGTCTAAATACTTCACGTTTTGTAAGCGAGTTTAACTCTGTTTGTATTGCTTCTTTCTACATTAGCCAATCATTGTTTTGTCGACATTCCTCGACAGTTTGTGGTTCATTGTCATAATCACTTTTGATAATATTTTTAGCATTACTTATGTTAATGTCAAAAGCAACTTTAAACGAAATTATGTTATCGACAACAATTTGATTTCTATTCCAAACTTCTCATGTACTCATATAATGTATTGAGATCTCATTATTTTCAAGTACCTTTTCCACTTCATGGAATAACTCTTCAAGAGATTTCTCTTCTGGAGGTTCATAAGTAGGAGATTTGGATAGACTTATTATAACTTGTTCAGTAGTTTTAGTCTCTTCAACGGTGCTTTCATTTATGGGTATGATCTCTTTAGGAGATCCGTTTATGGTTTCTTCTAGAGTACTAATTGTTTGTTTTTGAGTTTTCCTTTTTCGAGGAATTTTGTTTTTTGCACCGAATGGGTTTCTTACGCTTCTGGCATGCCTTAGACTCATTCGTTACTATACCTACTAATTGTCTGATAGGAACATCAATTCTTACTGGGGTATTAGCTGCTGGTGTATAAGGTTTTTCACATTTTTTTGTGTGTGTTAATGAATGCATCCGGTAACTGATTTGCACTACTTTGCAAATGAATGATCCTTTGAATTTCTAGTTCACATTGATTAATACGAGGATTAAAATGAAATAATGTTGAAGTATTCCAAGTGATTTCCTGTCGAGTTTTAGATTGCGACTTGTCTTCCTCTAATAATGGGAAAATTGTTTCATCAAAATGACAATCCTCAAATCGTGCCTTAAGCACATCACCAATCAAAGGTTTTGCATATCTAATGATTGATGGAGAATCAAAATCAATATAAATTCCACGCCTACGTTGTGGACCCACCTTAGTGCGCTGTGAAGGTGCAATAGGAACATAAACCGCACAACCAAACACTCTAAGGTGACTAACATTGGTGGTTGACTAAATACAAGTTGTAATGACGAGTACTCATGATATGCAGTTGGTGTTACACGAATCAAATATGATGCATGCAATATAGCATGACCCCATGCTGAAATAAGTAATTTGCTTTTCATAAGCAAAGGTCGAGCAATCAACTGAAGTCTCTTAATGAAAGATTCAACTAAACCATTTTGGGTATGAGTGTGTGCAACAGGGTGTTCAATATCAATGCTAATAGACATACAATAATTATCAAAAACTCAGGATTTAAATTTACTGGTATTATTAAGACGAATTGTCTTGATAAGGATGGTCTGGAAACTATGCTCGCAATCTAATTTTTGAGCAAGGAGTTTAGCAAATGCAACATTGCGTGTAGAATGTAAACAAACATGTGACCATCTGGTCGATGCATCTATTAAAACCATAAAATAACGAAATGGTCCAAAAGAAGGGTGTATGGGTCCACATATATCC